CATCTTACAATCCAGTGGTTTTTTAAAAAACAGTAAGTAGGGGTAAGTAGGGGAAGGTAGGGAGGGAGGGGACGGTAGGGGGAAAACAATGGAGGGGGTAACAATGTTCAAGAGGAAGTGTACTCATTACCTCACTCATGTAACTGTAACCCTCTGTATAGTATCTTTACAATAAAAAAATAAAAATAAAAACTAAAAAAAAAAAACAAAACAAAAAACAAAACAGTAAGTACAGCCAGGTGCCAGTGGCTCATATCTGTAATTCTAGCTACTCAGGAGGCTGAGATCAGAGGGTCACAGTTCAAAGCCAGACTGGGCAAGGAAGTCTGTGAGACTCTTTTCTCCAATTAACCACCAGAAAACTGAAAGAGGCGCAGAGGCTCAAGTGGTAGAGTGCTAATCTTGAGCTGAAGAGCTGAGGAACAGTGCCCAGGCCCAGAGTTCAAAACCCAGGACAAAAACATAAAACAGTAAGTACTTTTTAAAGTGCGATCAATCAGAAAAAGTCAAGGAAAACTAAAATTCTGTTCAGCTGAAGGAATGCAAAAATGGAATGCCAGCGTAGGGTTCCAAATCCCCAAAACATTCTTTGTATGTTATTAAAATAGTCAAGGCTGTTCAGTTCCAGTTAATATTTGTATTAATACAAAAACTAGACTTGGTCTGGAAGAAAATCATCCTAATTTTACTGATAATATGTATGATGATTTAGGTCAAATGCTTTTAATTAACTTCCCAATTAAGAGAAAATGCTGAACAGTCTTATACTTTTCTTCAATACAAGGATAAAAGTTAAAGACACTGGATGAATACTTGGCTGCAATTTTACACTACATTAACACTGCTCACCTTGGAATCTGTCCTTGCAATGTATCAGTCCACTTGAAATTTTGAATATATCTTAGTTTGCTTTCCTGGGTAGATTCATCAGGTGAATTTATGAAACCTATGAAAAGATACACCTTAGTCTCAGAAAAAAAATATATACTACCTGTTCTATTTAGAAGGATTCTTTCTAAAAGAAAAGCAAGTAATTTTTTAGATTCCTGAAGGAAACTTCTGGCCCTGTTTTCCATACCTTACTCCTTCTCCTACTGTAACATAGTACAAAAAATGCATATATTTAATTTTTTAAATGTTAGAAAAAAATCACATACTATCATTATAATCTCAAATTTCTGAAATTTAATTATATAAAATAGCTAAAGACGACTAAATTGTACACATGTGGAAAATTTAAGAATTAAAAGTAAATGTAAACTCAATTCATGTAAATAACTAACCTTGTAAAAGTGAAAAGTACAAATCTGCTGCATTCTTCATCATTTCTGGATTACAGCTCAAATCAGTGAAGAGTTCAAGGAGGCGCATCCTGGATGATCTCAACTCACTTACATGAAACAGAGTAAAATTCAGTTGTATTATATGATTCTAAGCAAAAATGACTTGAAATGAGATGTACAAGTCGTTATGTCAAAAACGAACTTTACAACTTTGGTGAGGGGGCGGGGAGGATTGGGGGGGGGGACGGGGGGGGGGGGGGGGATTGGAAGGGATGGGAAGGGGAAACAAAGGAGGAGGCTACAATGCTGATAAGAAATGTACTCATTATCTTGCCCATGTAATTGTAATCCCTCTGTACAGTATTTTCACAATAAAAAAAAAATGACTTGGAAATATTACTATAAAGAGCTTTAAAACACAACGCTCACCTACATCCCCTACCTCTAGTAGATATGTATACCAGAATGCAAGAATAAATTTAATTAGCTAAAAACAAGTGAAATATCCTTCAATAATTTAAATGTTCTACTAAAAAAAGTCAGTCTAATTGAAGGAACAAATCATGGATCATATTATGTACCTGTTATCCCTCTTATAAAGGGGAGTCTAATATAGGCTTGTAGCTGGGCAGGAAGGAAGACCCTCTTTCAAAATAACCAGCAAAACCAGGCTGGAGGCCTAGCAGAGTAGTAAAAGCATCTACCTACAAGCTACAGGACCAGGATTCAAACCCTAGTACTGCCAAAAAAAAACCAAGAAACTTGCTCAATTAATACCTGTTGAATTTCACTAAAACTTACTTGCAAATTTTTGAAGCAGAAGGGCCAGTGACCATACCATAGTAGTTAAAAGAGATAGGAGCTGTAGCTTTTAGTGGGTTCCTATGAAACCAATGGGTCATTTTCTCTAGACGTGTTCTATATACAAAAAACAAACACATAAAAATTAAAGACAAAATATTTAATGACCAGCACATGATGTGTGAATGGTAGTTACTTTTCAGTTACATTTTACATATAATCTATTAGCATGAAACATATATTTCATCTCTACAAATCAATTTTTTTTTTTGATGGGTCATGGGGCTTGAACTCTGGGCTTGGGCGCTGTCCCTGCACTCTTCAGCTCAAGGCGGGTGCTCTACTGCTTGAGTCACAGGGCCACTTCTGGTTTTCTAGTGGTTTATTGGAGATAAGAGTCTCACGGACTTTCCTGCCCAGGCTGGCTTTGAACCGTGATCCTCAGATCTCAGTCTCCTGAGTAGCTAGAATTACAGGCGTGAGCCACCGGTTCCTGGCCAAATCAAATTTTTTTAATGAGGGTTCATTTATGGTTATGTTTAGATCAGATCTCCAAAAAACGAGCAAGCTTCTGGAAACATAACTTCAACGTAACAATATGCTACAGCAGTAATGTTAAACTTCATTTTGCATAAAAAGCACCTGGGAGTGGATTAGTCTTGCTAAAATGGAAGTTCCAATTCAACGGTCTGGGGAAGAACTGAGATTCTGACATCATAGATCCCCAGGCTACACTAACAAATAGTGAAATATTAGAATTCGGTTGGACAGCTGTAATTGAAAAGGGTACAGGACCAGATAAATCTAGTATCCATACTTGGATTAAGTGGAAATCCTTATTTATATACCAATTCTTGAAATACATTTATTTATTTTATGTATTTACTTTTTGGATAATACTGGAGTCTGAACTCAGGGCTTTGGCACTCACTACCACTTGTGCCCAACACCCAGCCTCTACAAGGTTTGAAGTTTATTTTCCACATATTGCTGACAATGGATTACAGCATGTATTCTATAACAAACATACTCTTCCACAAAACACAGTTTTTATAATGCAAAGACAATATCTGATGACAATTACTACTCAAAAATAACAACATTTGAGAAACTAAAGTGAAATGCCAACTTAAAAAAAATTTACTCATTTTAGGTTTAGACTTTAAAAAAGTGCCCAGGCACCAATGGCTCACACCTGTAATCCTACCTACTCAGGAAGCTGAGATCTGAGGACTGCAGTTAGAAGCCAACACAGGTAAGAATGTCTGTGAGACTTTTTATCTGCAATTAAGCACCAGAAAACCAGAAGTGGATCTGTGGTTCCAAGTGGTAAAGCACTTGAGTGAAAAAGCTCAGAGACAGTGCCCAGGCCCTGAGTTGAAGCCCTATAGTGGACAGGAAAAAATAGTGTATATTTCCTGCTTAAAAGTCCCTGAGTATCTGGTGCAAGTAATTACATTCCCAGAATATATAAGAAAATTCGGGTAGGATTTATTTAATTTGAAGGCACTGCACTAGGTTGTCATCAACTTTTCTTATTAGAGGAAAAGGTGGACTGCACAGCATTGTGAAATATCTATGTTGAGCACCTCCCTTATGTTATTTATTTATTCATGGCCAAACTGGTTTTGACAAGTACCGAGTATTTCATGAACAGAGGATGTATTGTGTGCTCAATGAAAAACAGGACAAGTTCATTTTACATGTCCTTTTGGAAGTGTTGAGGGATCCGTAGCTCCACGGTAGGTAGACCGCCACTGGCCAAGAATCTGCAAGGCCCTAGGTTCAACCCCCAGCACCCTCAATCGCTTTAGAAAACAATCACCTAAAAATCTTGCATATAAACCACCTTAATGACTAGGTAAATACATCCTGCACTTGCACATAGATCAAGCTCTCTGAAGGGTTGCTTTGACGAAGGCAAAGTGTCCTGCGATGACTTTAACCACCCTATTTTCTGCCCCATCTTCCAATCCCACGGATGACCAGGCAGGCACTCAGGATGAAGGAGGTCACCTAACCCACCACCACAGGCCTACGGACACTACTGACACGCCAGCCCCGCCCCCAGCCCCGAGTCCGGCAGGAACCCACCTGAGCCTCCGCTCCCAGCATCCACTTCCTGCCCACACCTTCCTCACCCCAGACCCCGGGCGGCGACCCCACGCACGCGTCGTCCCCAGCGAGCCCCGTGGTAAACAGGCACCTCGGTAGAAAGCCGATGCCATCAAACCCGGAGGGGCGGGGAAGCCACCACCGAGCGGGTCCCCCCGCCCGCCCCGCCACCCCACCATTTAGCTTACAAACCCAATGGAGATGCGGGGCGAGGGATACTCATCTATTAGTACTACTGATTCACGGACCAGCATGCAGTCTTCTTCTTCTTCAAAAGCACCATCCAGAGGTCGAAGGAAGCTGATGGCAAAGCGGCCGAGCAGGAAGGGGAAGACGAGTAAAGGGTCGTTCTCGGACTTACCTGCCGGGGTTCTCAAAGTCGGGGTGCCACTCTTCCCGAGGGGGGAGATGGTAATGTCGGGGTCAGCCAGCCAAGAAAGCGAGGAGTCCGACGAGCCCAGGCTACAGACGCCGGAACCGCAGAGCGGCAGGCCGGGGCCCGGCCGGCGTCACGTGACCGGCGGCCATGACAGCTGCGGCGGCGGCCCGAGGCCTCGCGCGGTGGGCGGGGGGCTCCCACGCCGCTTGCAGCCCCGTCTGGGCGCTCGGGGCCGCCGCGGCCCTTCCTACCTTCTCCTCTCCGGCCCTTCTTTACCCGCCTGGGTCGCGTCCGAAGAGAGGCAGGAAGCAGGCGGCCGGGCCTCGGATGCGAGCGGGGACGCCGCCTGAATGACGCCGGCGACGGCGCTGGGCGGAGCGGGGACGGCCTCAACCTAACGCGGGGCGGGGCCTGGCGGGCGGGGCCGCGGCGGGGCCGCTCCGGAGCCGCCAAGTTTGGCTGTGGCGGCAAATGGGCTTGGGCGGCTCCTCGGCGGGTGGCGGTGGCGGTGGCCGTAGCGGTTCCTGCTGGCCCTGTTGATGTCGGGGCCAGGCCCGGGGAGGATGGCGCTCTAGAGCCCGGCCTTGCTTCTGAGGGGCCGGGGCGGGAGGGGGCCGGGGCGGGGACCGGCCATGTCGGAGGTGACCCGGAGTCTGCTGCAGCGCTGGGGCGCCAGTTTTCGGAGAGGCGCCGACTTCGACTCGTGGGGCCAGCTGGTGGAGGCGATAGACGAGTATCAGATGTGAGTGACGAGCCGCGGGAGCGGGTTCCCCCCGCCGGCCTTGGGCCCCGTGCCCCCCACCCTCCACCCCGCCCCGTCCCCCTTTCGTGTTCCGTCGGCGTCTCCATCACTGGGTGTGCTGCCAGGCTTCTCAGGGTGGGGCCCCGCAGGCTTCGGGACGGGAGTCCCCCCTGGCCCCCGCGAGGCTGCTCCGGGCATCCCGGTCTGGGGCGGGGGGGCGGTCCTGTCTTTCCACCTCCGCAGGGCGAGTTCCATTCAACAGGTAGCCCCCTCTGTGCGGGGGGCGCCGGCCCTCCCAGGCTACCTACTTAGTTCCTTTCCAGCTTCCCACGGGTGCCCCGCTTTCCACTCAGTTTCTTTTCCTTTTTTTTCCTCCGCCTCTCCTGGGTTGCCCCTCCTCGATGATTCTCCCCCTCCCCCTCCTAAATCTCTAAGGAGTAAGTGTGTGTGTTCCGCCCACGTTCAAAGGATGAGTGGCCTTGCTCTGTGTGTGTGTGTGTGTGTGTGTGTGTGTGTGTGTGTGTGAGTAGAGAAGTGGTTGTGATTGGAGGGGGTGCTCCCCAATTTACAGTGAGGGCCAAGGATGCTACTCCTGCCAAAAGGAAAAAAAAAAAAGGTCCCCCTCTCTTGGGCTCCTTCCCCACCCCTCTTTTCTGATGAGCTCTGTTTTCACAATTCCACCTCGATTTCGTTTCGCTTTCTGGGGCTGTTATTTGCTAGGCTGTGAGTCCCACCCACCCCCTCGCTCAGTTGCTTTGGGTGGAGTCCGCGCAGGATGTGAACCGAGGAGAGCAAAATGTGAATTAATAGACCACGCACGGGAGCCACCACTCCCTCCTTGAGTCCCTCCTCCTTTTCCTGTGTACAGTATATAGCCTCGGGGTACATGTGAGCACCAATTTCCCTTATCTACCTAAGTTGAATTGCTTGCCCTTTCTGATTTAATAAAAAAAAATTTTAAAAGCTTTAGGGATGTTTTATAAATGAGAAAGCAAGGTTTGTGTCTACACATCTTGCTTGATTTCTTTGCACATATCACTGAAGGTGAGACTTGCTTCCTAAAATTCTTTCTTGTAAACTGTTGCCATTAAAGTACTTGGTTTTAAAGCAAGTTATTGTTTGCGGTTTCACAGAGTAAGAAAGAATGTGTGAGTAAAATCCACACACTTACACCCCCATGCTTTCTGGAAATAATACAGGATTAGTACTTGGTATATCATTCTGACTCTTACCCTTCAAAAGTTACTTGCTTTTATCTGACCAATAAGATTATTTAGATATGTAAATGGTTTCTGTTTCATACTACTGATTTCGAATTGCCTGTAGTTCCCCCAAACCTGCAAACAACTATGCTCTGGGCCTTTGTTGTTGTTGTTGTTGTTGTTAAGGTGATGTACAGAGGGATTATCATTTCATAAGTCAGGTAATGAGTACATTTCATTTGGGGCAGTGTTACCCCTTTCTTTACTCTCTCCCAGTTTTCCCCGCCCATCCCTGCTTATAAGTTGTTTAGTTCATTTTCAACATAATGTCTACTGAATACCACTACTGTATTTGCTCACCCTTTGTCCCTCCATTTCTGGAGGCTCTGAGCCTTTTCTCTGTGCCTAACAACTGTGAACACTTACTTTGCCCTATCATATGATTTCATTTGCTCTTGTAACTGTTCACTGAGAATGTAATTATTCTCATTTTACCAAATGAAGAAACAAAACCTCAGGTTAAACACTAGGACCACAAAATTGTACCAAAATTTAGAATTTTTTAATTAATATTATGTCGATCTTGTCTGTTCTAATACTTAAAGAGTTTAAGGTGCTTTTTTATGAAACATTAATGGAGTGATTCTAAATAAAATGGTCAAATTTCAAGATTTCCTTTATTAATGAATAACGTACCATACAGGTATTCTAATTCTGTGTGTTAATGAAGAATGCATAGCTTGAAATATAAAATGGCCTCTCATTTGTGATGTGATGGGATCTAGAAGCTGTTGGCACTGGCCTACACACCTCCCAATGGAAAGTGAAGAATACCGTGTCTAATTGAAATTACAAAGGAAAATTAGATATGCAGACTATTTCCCCGAAATTTGTGGCAACATCTGAATGAGCTTAAAAGTCTGATACAAAACTGTTGTTGGTTCTATGTACTAATCTTTGAATTTTGAGAAATTCAGAATAATCCTTCATTTACTACTATAAAACTGAAAGGTCAGATTTACTTTTTTTAATTTAATTTTATTGTCAAGGTGATGTACAGAGGCTTTACAATTACACAGGTAAGGTAGTGAGTACATTTCTTGTCAAACATTGTTATCCCTTCCCTTTTTCTTCTCCCACTTTCCCTTCTCCCCAGTCTCCACCCAAGTTGTAAAGTTCATTTCCAACATGTTGCCTTGTGAGTATTGCTGTTGCATTGGTTAGCCCTTTTCTTGTGTCACCATTTTGTTGTTCCTCTTCCCTTCCCGAATTCAGATAAACATATATCGAATACACAGGATACCAAAATCAAATCCAGTGACAACAAGGGATAAACCATAAGAAGGGAAAAAAAACACAAGAAAAAAAGAAATAACTTCAAATTTCAGTAGACAGTTTTTGATGTTGGCTTAAACTTTGTAAATATACTATGAGGGTCGATGGTTTAGGTTTGTCTAGTGTATTTAGAGTTGAAGACAAAATGCTTTTGTATTCAAAAGAGCTCTTTGGAAGGAAAGATTGCAGCCAAGGAGGCCAGTTAGGGACCACTCTTAATGATGTGAGCAATTACCGACAGAATTTTCTTTCCAGCTGGATATTAAGAGTGAAGCAGGAAGACTAGGGTAATTAAGGGTTCTAATAGTGTAGATAGTCATACAATGGTTCAGGAACTGGTTTATGAAGGGAGGGGGACATTGGAAAGATGGAACCTTACACTAGCTGTAGTGTTTCTTACACAATTTCAACATCAAATTTCATCATCAAATGTGAGGGGTGGAGTTAAAACACAACATAAGTGGATTTCTGCACTCAAAGTTTAATGGAATGTTTTAGACTTGAATATTGCAATTCCAAAATATGAACAGAAAATGTTTCCCAAAGCACACTTCAGAACTTGAGTATTCTTTCTGGAACACTCCTATCCCCTATTATCTGTTCAGGCTGTTTGGTCACCTACTTCTGGTATGTTCAAATACTACTTTTTTAGTAATACCCCCTTTGGCCACCTATTTAAAATTGTAAAGCCTCCTAGCCACCCTTCACTCCCTGCATCTCAGTCTAGCAACCCTACCCCTCTCCACCCATCCTCCTTCATTTGTTTCCAAGGCACTGGTGATGATATAAAATGTATCTTATGTATTCATTTTGTTAATTGTCCTTCTCTTCCAGAATATAAGCTCTTGGAGGGTGGATGGGGGTGGGGAAGGATGGTGTCTGTTCTATTCTTAATATCCAGAGTAATACTAGATTCTGAGTTCATAATTGTTTAGATATTTCATAATTATATTCAAGAGTATGCTGTGAAGCATTAAAAGGCTGATGCTAAAATGCTGTAAAACAAAGAGATTAGGCGAAAATTTTTATCTAAAATATACATGGACAGTTTTTAAAATATTTCCATTGAACAGGTTGTCTCTTCCAGCTACCTGGGCATATGTGATTCCTAACTTGTATAGTAGAATGGAAACTCACTCAGCCAAACTTGGTCTTACTCTAGCACAGTGATAGTTTGGGATGCACTAGTTTCTGCATCACTAGAATGATGTGGAATTTCCATCCCTCAGTTGTTTGAGTGTTTAGAATATACTTAAGACACTCCCTTAAGAACAGTACTAGGGTAGTTTTAGGTACTTTAATGTAGAGTGGAAAGAACCTATAGAGAAGTAATTTCAAAGCTTTCTTTTACAAGTAGAATGTCACCTTGTATTTGTTCAGCTGGTATTCAGAGCAAGTTGATTTTCCTTCAGTGAGCAATATCTTAAAATATCTTAAATATCTTTCATGATTTAAAAAATAAAGATTTTTGTAAGGTTTAAAACATAATTTTTAAAACTCAGGCATAATTAATACACTGAAATTCATCCATTGTAAATGTACAATATAATGATGTATGTATGTGTGTATGAATGTAAGTATGTTGGTTCCAGGCCTTTGACTCCGAGGTCTGGTGCTCACTCAGCATTCTGCTGGTATTTTACTACTTGAGCTACATCTCCAGCTCACTATTTGCTGGTTAATTGACATGGAGTCTTGTAGACCTTCCCAGGCTGGCTTGGAACTGAGATCCTCCAGGTCTTAACTTCCTGAGCATCTAGGATTAGAGGCATGATCCAGTGGTACCCAGTTAATGATTCTTTAGTTATATTTACCAAGTTACACGACTATCACTACAATCGAATTTTAGAACATCTCCATCACCTACAAAAGATTCCTTGTTCCCATTTGCAATTTTTCCATATTCCCATTCTAGTCCCAGACAACCATTATTCTATGTTCTGTCTATAGATTTGTCTTTTCTGGCATTTTATGTAATTTGATTCATTCAATATGTGACCTTTTGCACTATGTAATGATGGTGTGTTATCATAAACTTAATTTTCTTCTCTAAATTTTCTGTGATGTGTCTGTTCAAATGTTTTGGCTAATTTTTGAATTATATTTTGCCTGTTGGGTTGTAGTTCTTTAAATGTTCTGGATATGTCTTTGATTTTTGCAATATTTCCTCTCAATCTGTTGCCTAGTTTTTAAAACTTGACACTGAATTTAGTATCCTTTCTGCTAACTTTTGAGCAGGAGTAACTCTTGCTATACTTTTTTTTTTTCTAACAATGACCCTACTTTGGTTAGTTGGTAGCTACAATTAGCAAGTTATGTGTAGAATAGAGAATCTTGTCACCCTGTAACTTCCCTAAGTTCAGGGATATAGAGCTTATATTGCTAAAGACAATGAGACTATGGATTTCTATAAAGTACTCCTATTGGTGATAGTAAGATTAGAAAAAAAGAGTAAGGAGAATGGAACATTGTCTTTATAGAATAAATACATACACGTACATATACACAAGATGTGTGTTTTACATTTTTGGAGACACTATTATGGAGAGAAAGCAGTTTGATTAATATGGTGGAATCATCCTAGACAAATATGATTTTTTTTTATTGGTCAGTCATGGGGCCTGAACTCTGGACCTGGGCACTGTCTCTCAGCTCTTCAGGTCAAGGCTAGCGCTCTACCACTTGATCCACAGTGCTTCTTCTGGCTTTTTCTGTTTATGTGGTGCTGAGGAATCGAACCCAGGGCCTCATGCATGCAAGGCAAACACTCTATCACTGAGCCACCTTACCAGCCCTGTTGTGATTATTTTATAGCATCTGATCTTTAAAGATATGCTTGCATAGCCTAGACTGCCATCTAGCACTTGTAGTTTTTGTTGTTGGTAGTGTTTTTTTGTTTTAGTCTTTTTTTTTAATGTCTTCAGTTGTGTAATGGAATGGCTAGCACTTGCTATGCTTTATATTCCTGTCTTTATTTCCTACCCAGAATAATATAGTATATGTGGAAATTCTTTTGCCAGTTTTTCCCTGAAACTTTTAAAATTGAGATGAATATATAACAAAACTTACAAAGGTACAGTTGAGGATTTTTTTAGTGTGCTCACTATTTTGTGCAGTCATCACTTTCTAATTCTAAACATAAGCATTCCATCATCCCCCAAAGAAACTCCATACTCAGTATTAGTCAATTCAAATTCCATTTCCTGACAACCACTAACCTGCTTTTTGTCTCTATGGATTGAATACATTTTATGTGAATGGAATCATATAATGTCATCTTTTATATTAGTTGTTTTCTGTTTTGATGTGTGTGTGTGTACATGTGTGTGCGCGTGTGTGCTCACATGTACATGTGTGTGTACTCACTGGTCCTGTGGCCTGAACTCAGCCCTGGTACTATCCCTGAGCTTTCTTGCTCAAGACTAGTGTCCTACCACTTGAACCAGATTTCCACTTTGGCCTCTTTTTATTGTATGTATGAATGTATGTGTGTATGTATGTATGTACGTACATATGTACGTATGTATGTATGTATTTTTGTCTGTTGTGGGGCCTGAACTTGGGGCCTGAGCACTGTCCCTCAGCTCTTCAGCTCAAGGCTAGCACTCTACCACTTGAGCCACAGCTCCACTTCTGGCTTTTTCTGCTTATGTGGTGCTTCATGAATGCAAGCACTCTACCACTGAGCTACCTTCCCAGCCCTGGCCTCTTTTAAAAAACATTTTTATTTGATGGTTAGTTGGAGATGAGAGTCTCACAGACTTTGAACCACAATCTTCAGATCTTAGCCTCCTTAGTAGCTAGGATTATAAGCATAAGATGCCAGTACCTAGCTGTTGTAGTATTTTTGAGTTTCATCCTTATTATAACATTTTATTTGAATTGATTCCTCTTTATGGCCTAATAATATTCAGCTAGATGGATATACCACATTTTGTTTATCTAACAGTTGTTTAGACATGTTGGTTGTTTCCACTTTTGAGCTATTTTGAATATTGTTACTATAAACATTTGTGCATACAGGTGATTTGTGTGAATGTAACATTTTTACTTCTCTGGGGTATATACCTAGGAATTTAAATTTTTGGAGTCATCGTGATATTTCTTTAATTTTCAGAGGAACAGATTTTACATCATTCCATTAGCAATGTATGAAGTTTCCATTTTTCCCATTATTATTCTCACTTTTATTTTTTAAATTATATCCACCCATCCACATTGGTGTGAAGTGGTATCTCATACTTTTGATATATTTCTTAATCTAATGTTGTATCTCTTCATGTACATATTATTCATTTTTCTATCTTTCCAAAATATCCAGATTATTTACTCAAAATTGGTGTGTTATTATTAACTGTACAACTGTCAATCCTTTGATTTTTGTTATCTCAGAAATAGCTTTGATAGTATGAGGTTGTGGCTCAAAAGGTAGAGGTGCCTGTCTAGCAAGTATGAACCTCAGTACTATTAAAAAAAAGAGAGAGAGAAGGAAAGGGGGGAGAAAGAGTGAGAGTGAGCAAGTGAGAGAACTTTTGCTCTTTATTGATGAATTTAGACTAGTATTAACACAGATCCATCCTTGAAATTTTACATGAGGCCTCATTGCTGTTTTAAAGTACAGTGATTATTGGCCAAACAATGATTTTTGTTTCTGATTGGTGGAGGAATTGTTTTTCTCATGAAAATGTTTCCAAAATATGTCTTGATAGAATATTGTCATTTTGTCTTTGTTATAATTTGGGTTTGGAGTAAGCAGCAAATTAATGATAGACTGGTAAACTATCTTTGGTTGATACCATTATTGTGCTCACTAGAAGTGTTTAAGTAGAATCTGTAAAATTATGTCTAGTTACAGAAGAAATTCATACATACCATAGAAAGTTGGATTAGATGCCCTTTGAGATTCTTTCCAGCTTTAGAATTCTGTTTTTACTTCCTAGAGCTGGAATGTGTTCCAGTGAAATAACATGAAAGTATTGTATCTTATTTTTATCATCACTGAGAGTGGAGTTTGACAAAAAGTGTCATGTACACTTACACTTTGAAAAACAGAACAAAGTACTACTGTAAGTCACAGTGTTTTAAAGATTTAAATTGTTTCACCTTGTTACAGTTGAGATAGTTTGCTTTCTTCCAATTCTGATGAACCTTTTCTTCTTAAACAGATTAGCAAGACATCTACAAAAAGAGGCCCAAGCTCAACACAACAATTCAGAATTCACAGAAGAACAAAAGGTACCATAAGATAATTTCTTGATATATCTGATTCCATATGAAAAGCGTTCTTTTGGATTCTTTAAAAAAAATTAAAGCGAAACTGTATGAAGCAAATAGAAGATCATACTGATTATGCTTTACGTGACATTAAGTGATACTCTAAACTTTTATGAACCAAATCTTATATATCCAAGTATATAAATTAATAGTTAAGAAGGTGTGCTATAAATCTGGAAGCAAAATGAAAACTTAGGCAATTAAAATATTTTAATGATATTAAAATATCAAAAATATTAAAATATTTTAATATTTTATTTTTTTAATTTTAATTTTTATTTTTTGTGAACATACTGTACAGAGGGGTTACAATTACATGGGCAAGATATTGAGTACATTTCTTATCAAGCATTGCAGCCTCCTCCTTT